ACTATTCAATTGCACTGTGCAGTTTATAGGCAAAATAAACCCAGACATCCGTGCATATCGTTAATCTTTCAGGCCGACGGTGTGCATTTGAAAAGAATTAATGATACGGGTGCGTTTTTATTTTTTTTCTCTGTTATCCAGGTCTGCCTCAAGTGTATATAGAGAACCTGGTTTACTCTCAATCATGATTACTTATCATTGAACGTGTCTTAAGAAGGGAGATTACCTATTTAAGATAATCAGAGGAAGGTTTTCAAGTAGTGATTGGATATCATAGTGTCTGATATATTATGCATGTAGCCAGACTTCCTTAATATGTAAACCAATGAGATTGGCTGTGGACATGTCAATCTTTAGTTTGCAACCAATGACATTTAAAGGGGGAAGGGGGATTAACTTATTGCATTGAAGCAAGGGATTACCTTGTCATGATAACAACAATACCGAAGTGATGCCCATATACATCGCACTGATGCCCCCTAAATGCTAGAGTGATGCACGCTAAATATCAGAGTGATGCTCAAATACATCACAGAGTGATGCCCCTAAAGATCAGCGTGAGAGCAAGACTGAGGCCCCCTAAATGCTAGAGTGGTGCTCACTAAGTGCTAGAGTGATGTCCCCCATACATCAGAGTGGTGCTCTCAAAATGCCAAAATTAAAAATTTTAACGATCTGTGAATCAAATCAAATTGTATATATTTTATTAAAATTTCTAGAAATATACGGCCTCTGTTCTTTTAAGGAACTTATGTCATTGGCAAATGTTTTGCAAGTCTTATGCCACTGGCAAGATCGAACACATGAGAGTAATAAAGAGTAAATATCAGAGTGATGCCATCAGAGTGATGACCCAAAATATCAGAGTGATGCCCCCTAAATATCAGAGTGAAATAATCAAAGTGATGCACCTTAATATATGAGCGATGCGCCCTCAATATCAGAGTGAAATAATCAAAGTGATGCACCTAAATATCAGAGTGATGTCTCCTAAATATTAGAGTAATGCCACTAAATATCAGAGTAATGCCCTCTTGAAAACAAAGTGATGCCCCTAAATATCAGAGTGAGGCCACCTACATATCAGAGTGAAACAATCAAAGTGATGAACCTAAATATCAGAGTGATGTCTCCTAAATATCAGCGTGATGCCTCCTAAATATCAGAGTGATGCCCCCTAAATATGAGTGATGCTATCAGAGTGATGCCCCAAAATATCAGAGTGATGACCCATAAATATTAGAGTGAAATAATTAAAGTGGTGAACCTAAATATCAGAGTGATGCCTATTAAATATTAGAGTGATGCCACTAAATATCAGTGTGATGCCCTCTTAATATCAAAACGAAACAATCAAAGTGATGAACCTAAATATCAGTGTGATGCCCCCTGAATATCCAGAGTGATGCCCCCTAAATATCAAAGTGATGACATGAGTGATACCCCCTATATATCAGAGTGATGCCACCTGAGTGATGCCCCAATATATCAGAGTGATGCCCCCTAAATATCAAAGTGATGCCATCAAAGTGATGCCCCTAAATATCAGAGTGATGCCCCCTTAATTATCAGAGTGATGCCATCAGATTTATGCCCTCTAAATATCAGTGTGATGCATTCAGAGTGAACCCCCTAAATATCAGAGAGATGCAATCAAATGCTAAAG